TGCAGGTCAACGGTGTCAATGAAGATATCGCTGGAATGACAGTCTGGGAAACCAACAACCTGGCTGAATTTAACGCCACCAAAACACAAACCTGTGTTTTCATTAGAAAATTGTAACTCAGTATGTCTGATATAACAATGTCTACTACCACCATTTCCACAAAGTCCATTATATCTATGTTCAGTATTTTTATCAGCAATAATTCCTCATGCTCAGATTTTATTCCCAGCCTGAAGCTGAATTATTACAAGTCAACAGCTTCTCATGATCTACTAAGCACATATAAGACCATCTTTTGAATACTGTATCAACATATCATTTATTATATGGGGCTCAGTACCCAAACATACGCTGATGCTCTTAGATTCCATCCAGAGAAGATCCATTCGCCTGGTGGGTGACGCCACAATGCCAAAATGATTGAGTTTTATTCCTTCATTTTCTACAAGTATAATTTCTGAATTATCATGAAAACCATGGTTTCCTTTCAATATATATGGTTGGCGTATGTTGAATTCGTTTGCTTTTTCAAAAAATTCATCTTATGTTATGAATGCCCTGATCGAACGTACGACCTATCTGACCGATATATACCTTAGGACAAGATACACAGTTGAGTTGGTATATAAGCAATCCAAGGTTAGTTTAGTTCATTGTACCAGTATATCACCTGACGAAGCTACTGTGTTAGTGAAACATGTCGTGTGTTTGAGAATTTTAGGAAAATCTTATCGTTTGTGAAGTTTCCACTTTTATCTATTCTTTGCCAGAGGAGTTTTTCCCAAGGACTCATAATTTCAAAATATCAATGAAATTCGAATGATAGACGGAGACTAGAACTATATCCTAGTCTTTTTTTAAGTCTTCAAAATATTATAATCTTTTCCTATATCGAATCTAAACATTTCAGTAGGCACTAATGAGTTTGTTCTGAACATGAGCTTGTATAACTAGATCTTCCTCAATGTATACTACAAAATCCTATCCTATTAGTGATCTCGAATACGATGCGTCAAGGTTCGCATCAAACAGAATGAGAATGACAGTGAAAACAGAGGGTCCCATGTGTAGTGCATTTGTCGATATTTCATTTCAATCCGCTATCGTTTCAACCCAGATTCGGGATCCCTTTTGATATACGAGATCGCTCTATCTTATTTAAGCCTGTGCCATTTTTCTCGGGAGAAAACAACCGAATCACGTGTTCAGACATATTGCTGTTTTTGTGTTGTGACTGGACTTCGTGAAACTGAAACTGAATTTGCCGATGAAGAGGGAAACTCAATGGAAGTTAAAAATTGCCCTGATCTCTTTGATACGATACTCTGATGTCCTGTGAAATTGGATTTCAGTTGTTTTATACTGGGAATTATGATGAATTAAATACTCAGATTTCGAATTTGTTATGATGTATTCAAGAGTATTGAAATATTTGACTCAGGTCCACAACCATGATTGTTATGCAAACCTCTTGTCTTGTCTCCTCTTGAACAGTGACAAGATCTCCGCTTGTTCACTTCGGAAATAGGGTTTGTCAGATGACCGACCCTGGAAGTAAAACAACCTCACTTTTTTTATATATTAACAGATAATTGGAATAGTTTGTAACAATTATTTTGGCATACAGATCGTGTTTCTTGGGCCATTTATTCATTCAAGCATGCCATCACATTGTACTGTTGTACAATGCACAAAAACCCACTAAACATATTTCAGTATGGAAAACGTTTCAGAAATGTCTTTCGAATATCTGGGACCTCCCTACTTGAGTATCTCTGAAGTTTCAGAAACGTCTCAGAGAATGTGAATGTTCTACATCAGAGATGTTTCATGAGACGGTTCAACAACATCGTCCCAGACATATTTCTGTTCTAAGCACATGCCAACAAAACCGTTCTGGACACGTCTCAATGAAACTGTCTTGGACGCGTATCAACAAAACTGTCCTGGACAGGTTTTATAATGTTCTCTAATTTTGTCTAGTTTCATCAACTCTTCAAGAAGTGGATATGGTGAAGAAATTGAGATACATAGACAGTTGACAAATCTATTAGGTACTATACTCATTCTTATTCTACAAACAGTTGGCAATTACCTATCACACACAATCATGTGAGAAATACAAAATCACGTTCAAATAATATCTAAAACCCAATATACCATCGGCAAAACGGTGAACGAATGTACAGTCGTCTTCAGAGAACATGTCGCACATAGACGGTGTCAGAGCTCTCTTAATCACCGCTGCAATAAGAGCGCTCACACCGCCCAACCGCGACAAGTCAACTGAAGACGAATGTTCAGCCAACCAATATAATTCGATTGCCAAAAGTATATGGATCCTATGTTTCATGTAACAGCTTCTCATGTTGGTAATCCGTGCCGTTCACCAATGTCATTCACATTCCCTTCGGTTGTGGGATCATTCCTGATAAAATACTTTCTGAATCCTAATGACTGCAGCATTAGTTGGTGATTGAGTGTTGTTGAGCTGACCTTCATCTCACGCTTGTAACAGAGCCATTTTTCCTGTCTATTACGACGAAATCATCAAATTTGTATACGGCCTGAATGTATTTACGATATTTGTGTTCATCCCATCACTTTTCGTTTACCCTCGTATTTTGGAGTCCCCGCTTTAGGAGTTTTTATATACACGGTGTTTTTGTGGTCGAAGCGCTAAACGCCAGCATGACCAAGGCTGTTGTTTATTCCTAACACCTAGTGAACTTTCAACTTTGTGCCGATTGGATTTATAATGATTGTGTGGAAGGAATTTCGCCTGGTGGTATACCATACCGCGTACAAATAAATGAATTACGGGTTGCCTAAGTGGTTCGAAAATACCCTATATGGGGGAGACTATGATTATAGGTATCTCTCGCACCTCGTCTATATCACAAAAAAGTGTGGCAAAAAGTTGTTTTCAAGTTCTCGAATTTTTGAAACGCCGCTATGATTCGCTATCAGTGAACCTCCATCACCGTGTGGTCCATTAACTATTTATTTCGGAGTCATATAGTGAGTACTTTTGGTCAGAAAGTGCGAATACCAGGTTTCCTGATATTTGGAGATTGTGCCTGTATTCATTATAGGTGAGTTTTGTGATTTTTGTACAGCCTCATCAACTAGTATTAGGATTTGCATGTGATTTCGGAAAAGTCGTAGTCCTAGCAAAGGTATTATTCATTATAGATTCCAGATAAGTTTCCCCACGGTCAACCCTGTATATTCCAACAACGCATCACCTGTAATAAAATACTCTTGAACCAAAACCCCGTAGCAGGACTTTCATTTCAACCCCTGAGATCAACCCCGTTCCGTAACACGCTGGCTAAGCTATCACTGCACTGACTTTCGTCTCGTTTCAGTTGTTTCCCGCTGACCTTGTACTGTTTAGTGCCGACACCGATGTTTCCAATTTCCACACTTTACATCCGCGTCTCGCATATCCGTCACATAACTGTCCTTAGCAACAAGAACTTCGACACACGAAATACATATCAATCGCTCTCTCCTTCATTTTGAGGCATGACACCAAAGTATAGGTACAAACATTATTGAAAATTGAATAAGCGGTGGAGTGAAATATAATTATTATGAGTACAGGCAACATTGATGGCGTGGTGCAGTAGCAGCAGCTGTTTTTTTTGATTTGGAATCTTCTATAATGAAGATGTAGAATAAGTGAAGGCAGCACATATATTCTTGGATGGGTGCATTTTACTTGGAACGTTTCATTTTGGTTTCGTTCAAATGATCTTGCAACTGGAAAAAATCGAGAAACCTGGACTAAGCGTCTGGGATACGTTTCAAGTAACATTTCAAACAGTCCACAAAACGGCAAAATTCAAATGCTTCTGGAAGGTTTCATGTTCAGTGGGTATGCAGCGAGAGACAAAGGAATGAGAATTTTTAAGTTTGATTGTGATCTAAAAGAACTGTTGTACCTCACGTATTTTTCCTTTCAAAATATTGTCATATCTCTTCAGAAGTATTAATGCAATGAGAGCTAATAGAGTGAAAATGTCTACAGCACATACGACCATATTTTGTCAGTATTTCAGAGCGGTCCTCCCGTTTGATTGCATAAATTCAAGCTTCTTGTGTTCATTCAGAAACTTCACACGTCTCCACTCTCAGTGACTAGGTAATAGTTATTTATGTAATAAGGATCATAAAGACGATCATTATGGTCGTACAAGTCGTGAATGTTATCGGGCGAGGCGTAGCCGAGTCCGATAACACGGCGTGTGCCATAATGATTGTTTATGATTCGTATTACATACAAAATTATATCTGATGGCATTTATATCAATACATTTTCGAAAAATTAAAAACTGCATTTTCGACATGTCACAATGACAACTATTTTTAAAGGAGTAAGTATTGTGTAGTTTTAAATATTAGTAGGTGAGTGAGCTGTGCTTTACCATTATATTAATATTACAAATTGTAGTAATTGTTCTTTTACCATTTATAATAAATAGTTTTGTACATAGTTATGCATTTTGAATAAACTTTTTTGATCAAACCATTACATGTTTTCCTTATAGAATTTCATTATGGTACTTAGTACCATAATGAATTCATTATGGTACTTAGTCCCATAATGAATTCATTATGGTACTTATGTCATCAAAATTGAGTGACATAACGTTGTCATTATGACATGCCATCAGATAAAGTACTTTTATATCACAATTTACTTGAAAAATCTTCATTCCTTCTGCTCTCGCCGCATTTTTGTGCATTGTACACAATAAGACAATGTAATGGCATACTTGAATGAATGAATATCTGAAGAAACACCATTCTCATGCCACAATGATTGTGAAAACTATTTCAATCCGATGTAAGCAAATAAGAGAAGTGAGGTTGTTTTTTCTCCATTGTTGGGCATCTGTCATATGTGCACGCGACCTATAAAAAACCATCAGATGTTCTGTATTATTTAAAGTTGACAATTCAATGCAATATGTTATGAATTGATACAAACTATGTCCGAGAGGGATAGAGACCTCAAAACTGTGATAATCAATATGACACATCAGTTTGAGGGATTGGATTGGTATGCTATCGACAATTTCTCCACGCTGCCTGCACTATTATCATCACATTACAGCCTGCTGTGTACGTGAACCCTCTAGATTAGAGGCATTTCTGCGAAGATTCCAGTGAGTCTGAGATCGCTGGAACACGTTCCAGTAATAACGTTTTTATCAGAGAATATGGTAGTGAGTATGACATTAAGTTTGCAGTAAACTCACCGAATCTGACACTACGGACCTCCATAATCCCTCCTGATAAATGGCTTTCGCTCCAGTATTTATGGAATTGTGAGTTTTTTCATCGAAGTGGAGGAGATAACAAAAAGAAATTCGATTATGGTCTTGGCATGCTGCTGAAAACAAATTATAGAAAGAATGCAATTAACCCCATCCAAGAACATATTTTTCTTCGTCGGAATTGAATTGGTACTATTTGTTCAGGTGCTAGAAAAAAAATGGGTAACTCGTTCCTCAGAATTTTATCCCTGTAGGCGATATTCCATATAGTAAAGCAATGATAGATTTAAGGAATCATAGCAGTTGATCAAAATAAATGGAATACTCAGCTCAGTGCAAAGTTGATTTGAAAACTAGGACCACTCATCAAATTAGTTTTCCACTAACTATGTTGTGTGATAATTTGGGAATGGAATACACAGCCATGACATATAATTACTTATTAGACGTAAACACCACAACTATCCTTTCATTTCTATTCATAGTTATTTGACTCACCTTGAATATCCTGTTCCTCTATCAATATACTTCAAAAATTGAATCCTCAGTGGAAAAATACTAAACAGTATTCCAGAATAACGTTCGAATACTTCGGGGAGCAATTCTGCAGATAAAAATAGAAAACATGTTTCAATCCCCATGTTTCCGAAAATGATTCCTAAGGCCGCTAGTACCCTTGGAAGTTAGCTTCTTGAATGCAGTTCTCTTCAATTATCTTCGTTATCATTGAAATTGAATTACGAAACTTGGTACCTAAGGGTGATTTGGTCTTACAAATCGTTCCGTGATACGGAAAACATAATTTAATTTACATAGGTACGACACACATAACCGATGCTTTAAGAATGTTCCTAAATTTCACTTACACATAGAAAAGGTATTCGTGTTAGAATGCCGTGAAACGATCCGTTTCTGAGGAAATAAGTGTCATTTTTCATTATGGTGTCCAAAAAAATAGGCTTCTATGTATACTATAAAAAATCGAGTTTTGGGAAAGAGTTGTTCGACATGTCTCGAGGTTGACGACGAAAGGATGTGCTGACTGTGCTTGTCAAGATCGTCTGCCAGCATATAGAATTTCCAATGCAATACTGATGATGATCAAAATATCTTCAAATAAGTACTTCAACATGTTTCATTGTCTCCAAAAAACAGAAACGCTGATATAATGTGAAAACGAATTCTATCGTTCTATCGACAAGTCGTAAATCGAGTGAGATATCGCATTGACCAATCCTTAAAACGTTAGATTCAGAGACAAGATCGAGACAGCAACATCACTGCATGTAAATTGTCATGACTGGTTTGAGGAAATATATAGTTCAAATGCATTGAACAACTTTCAGAAAAAGCACAATGTGAACATCAACAATGATAACAACGTGTTTTTTTTTCAGATGGGACCTGATGTGTTAGACAGGAATGCATGAACAATCTATCTATATTTGCTAAGGTCTTGTTAATGGAACAATACCCGACTGGTCATCCTGAAACTTGGAAACGGAAGAAAAAGAAATTGTTTACATATTATTTGTCTTTGCACTTAGTTATACAGTGTGCCCATTTAGTGCGTAATTCTTCGATATCTCGAAAGGCATAACCTATAGAGAAAAACTTTGGAGACAAAACTTTTTCAGTTACTGCAGTTACTGAAGTTGCTCATTTCAAAAATATTTCCAACAATACTGGATGTTTTATAAAAGCAAGGCAACTCGAAGACGGAACACCCAGTATTGTTTATTTGAAATTTATTCCGCTAAGGTTCAGCTCTACATCGCTGTAAAAAAAATGAATTCGGTTGGGGCGTTGCCAAGTTATAATTGATACGCCCATTTTAACTACTATTGAAGGGTCATGTTCAATTGGGTATGGCCAATTTATTTGTTGAAATTTCGAAAATATTTTTGGCGTACAGTAGTAGCAAGGTCTCACGTACACCAATCCAGTAATCTTGCGAGATAATCCTTTACAGGGTGCTAAAATTTACATTCTGAATATTGTTAGATTCAGACGACGATCATAAGAACTTTTCAAATGGAACACCCTATATTTTTCATCACAGATTTATTTCGACATCATTCGCCTTTTCATCGCTGAAGAAAAAAACAAAATCGGTTGCGGCGTTTTCAAGTTATGAGTAATTTTCTTATTTTTACTACTATTTTGAGGTGATTTGTACGTCATGATGGTTCCTTTATTTGATGTGAGTGTGGGCATATTGCTTGCCACATGACATTAGAGGTTCTACATAGATCATTCAGGTATTTTTGCGATATGTGCATAGTTCGAATTTGAAATATTCCGTGATCTTGTTACTTATGATTTAATTAATATGTGAAACGAACAAACATGCCGAAAGCAACGCCTGTCTTTGGAACAACTACAGTACAAAAAATGAAGATGCGGATTGCAAAAATTTGGAAAATTTTTCGAAATTTCGGCCATTTTTATTGTCGTTATTCCCACAATCCGAATCTCTATTTAACTTGAAGGAGGTAAGCATAATGATACAAACAATATGTCTCTACTACGCGGCTTCTGGGAGGGAATTCAGTAAAATTTTGAATCAATCCAAGATATTTTGATTGTGGCGATGTTTGACAGGTCATTACACAAATATAAGTGTATTTCGAAAATAATTCAAACTTGAAGAGCCTGTTAATGTTCCTATTGTAAAAAAATATTTGAATGGTCAATGAACGAATTTGATAATACCGTAGCAACGCAATATTTCCACAATTAATATAAATGAGAGAACTATGACGTACAAATATCCCCGAAATAGTAGAAAAAATAAGGAAATTATCTATAACTTGACAACGCCGCAACCGATTCCGATTTTTTTTTTTCAGCGATAAAAAAGCGAAAGATGATGTCGAAATGAATTTTCGAATTAAAATACAGGGTGTTCCGTTTGAAAAATTCTGATGAATGTCATCTGAATCTTGCATAATTCTAAATGCAAAATTGAGCACCCTGTTGAAGAACATGTCGCAAAATTACTGGATTGGTATACGTGGGACCTTGCTCCTACCGTATGCCAAAAATGTTTTCAAAATTTTAATAAATGAATATACCATGCCCAATTCAACATGACTGTTCAATAATGGTAAAAATTGATTTATCAATTATAACTTGGCAACGACGCAACCGATTTCAATTTCTTTCACAGCGATGTGAAGGTGAACCTCGGCAGGATTCATTCCGAATGAACAATACTGGGTGTTCCATCTAAAAAAACTCTTCTTCGAGTTGCCCCGCTTTTATAAAACGCCCAGTAATGTTGAAAATATTTTTTAAATGAGCAACTTTAGTAACTGCAAAAGTTTTCTCTTCGAAGTTTTTCTCTATAGGTTATGGCTTTCGAGATATCGAAGAATTACGCACTAAATGGACACACTGTAGATCTATACCTATAACCTTTCATCAAATCAGCTATACTCTCATGGAGAAAATGTGCTGTCATTTTGAGAGAATGTGATATATAGATTTTGATATTTCGTTTCACAAGAATGAGATGAAATTACGTGTCTTTTTGTGAAAACATATTTTCTGCTTGAATCAGAGTCAGTTGCAGAATGCGACTCGTCGCAAATAGAATTACAAGGAGGATGTCAGTTGAATAAAATATTCGCTCTTTTCCAGGTTCCAGTTATTAACTGGATAAAGTTCCCAGATAATAAAGGGTTTGTAACAATATCGTGAATTTTCCAGAGAAACCCATTTATCAAAAGGTGTGTGAAGTTACTGTCGGTTATATTGTGATGGAGCTGGAGTTTCATTTTCATTTTTCTTTTTCATATCGTCGGTGAAACCCAAGAAGTGTGTAACTCCATATAAGTAAATTTTGCAGGAGAGCATCGAAACATGGCAGACAAGGATAATTGTTGAACTCCTCCTGTACAATTCAACGCGTTTGAATGAGAAGTAATGGAAATAGGAGGACGAAGCATTATGCCATCACAGACCTTGATTCTCATGTTCACAAAATATCAGACGTTAGAAGTTATTGATGACCGTTATATTCTACACTTTTCACGAGCACAATTTTCTCGATACCCAGATAGCACACGACGTCCCCGGGACGTACAGATCACGTCCGATTCGGGTCTGTACGTCCTGGAACCTAATATATGGACGTCCTCAGAACGTACTATGCCGTACGTCTTCGGGACGCACAGAGCGTACGTTTTCAGGACGTCCATTTTTAGTCTTCATTTCTTCTATATTCATTATCCACTCTATATTTATTATATTTCCCAATAACAATAAAACATTGGCAGATGTGATCAAATGGAGAAGGAATAAGGGCCCTTATTATTGGCTGCCGATTGATTCGATAATAGGTCACAATGAATCACGTGATTTTTTGTAATCAATGTGGAGAAATTGAAGTAAATCTGGCAATGTTCGCATATATATTTTCATCCTAAATAGAGTGTTATCTCTTTATTGGATTCAGAGATTTCGGAGGATATACCTAAAGATGAAATTATGTACACATTGTCTCACGTCCTGGTCTTTATATGACCAATCAGAAAATTCAGACTGATTCATAGCGAATTCCATTGAAATGAGATGATGGAGTGTTTCTGCACTCAATGTATATGTTTCCATCTCATACTCGCATATCTTGAACAGAGGTGAGTCTCATATTTAATAAGTGTTGTGTAGAGTTGTTGGTAAAGCATCTGCTTGGTAATTCAGAGGTCGCGGGATCGATTCCCCAGAAGAAGGATTTTTTTAATTTTGTATTCAAAATAATATTTTTCTACCCAGTATAAATGTCTTGTTTATCTATCTGATTTAAAGAAGGGCGAATCTACGTTGATTATGGTATTCATA